GGTTTGTTTGCTTTGCATGTGAGTTTTATTGTTGTTGTTTTTTTAACCATTAATTGATAACCAGAGTTGAGCAGTTAAATGTTTTGCAACAAGTTCAGTATGTCTCTTGACTTTTAGTGGTGGTGGCAAGCTCTTAAGCAAAATTCTGCTTAACAAGGAAAGTGGAAACAGAAAAGGTCACTTTTCACATAATGAGCCTGGATTGCTTACTGCAATGGATGCCTTCCAAATTGGAATATCTTCTTCCTATACTGCTATTACTTGATCATCTCATGTCCAAACAGGACATGATTTCCAACCTTAAGTGCAGAATAATTGTTTTCTGGTTAAAATTCCTGAATCAAAATTTAACTTAAGGGTTGCACCTGTGGCTCAGTGGGTAGGGCACCGACCCCATATACCAAGGGTGGTGGGTTCAAACCTGGCCCCAGCCAACCTGCAACAAAAAATAGCCAGGCATTGTGGTGGGTACCTGTGGTCCCAGCTACTAGGGAGGCTGAGGCAAGAGAATCTCCTAAACCCAGGGGTTGGAGGTTGCTGCGAGCTGTGTGATGCCACGGCACTATACCTAGGGTGATAAGGAAAGATCACCTATATGGTCTGTCTAACAACGGTACAAGTAAACTTTTCTAGAACTAGAGTATGAATGTTTTAACACAATAATTGAGTAAATGACATGAAATCTATGTTAACCAGTTTGACAAAAATATTTCGGGTTGGATGTGAAAACACTACACTGTACCCCATGTTTGCATTAATGTATACAGCTATCATTTAATAAAAAAAAAAAGTAAGATTTTGTCTCTCCAAAAAAAAATTGACTTCAGGTAACATTTATAATTAACTTAAAGTTCTAATTCAGGAGTGGGCAAACCATGACCTCTGGGCCAAATCTGGGCTTTGTACAGACTGCAGACTAAGAATGTGCTTACCTATTTCAATGGTTGAAAAGTGACCTGCAAAAAAAAATTTGCAATTCAAATTTTAGTATCCATCAATAAAGTTTTATTGGAACACAGACATATTAATCTACATGTTTCCTATAGTTGTTTTCTTACAGTGGCAGAGCTGAGTGGATCTGACAGAAAGCATGTGGCTTCCAAGGCTTAAAACATTTACTGTCTGGTTCTCTACCAGAAAAGTATGCTCACCTTAATCTAATTCAATTAATTTGTCATGTGATAAGAGATAGAAGGTGTGTCTTTTTGAGGCAAAGAATCAAATTAACACATATAGAATTACAACACTGTATATAAGAAGAAATTGACTAATTTAACAAAATTATAAAAAACTATAGGTAGATACAAATAAATGATTTAATCAATTCTTCATGTGACAAGAGATAAAAGGTGTGTCTTTTTGAGGCAAAGAATCAAATTAACACATATAGAATTATAACACTGTATATAAGAAGGACTTGACTAGCAAAATTGTAAAAAACTATGGGTAGATAAAAATAAATACAACTTTTCTCTGACTCTTACTGAAACAATCCATGTCCTCATTATACCTATTATTTTTCCCAAGAAAGTTTTTTTTCAAGAGGAAAATAGAAATGGCTTAGTTGGTAGGAAAGACCCTCTTTTCCTTCTCCACAAGTGTGAGCTTCACAAAGAGAAGTGGGTATCATCTAGTTATTTTGTGTGACTTCAGTGCTTAGTGGGCTTGGCAGAGTGCCCCTCACTGACTGTGTACTACAGACATTGGAGCAGGAACACCTGGTTGTCTGAAGAAATGAATACGCCTCTGAAGAGAGCTTACAAGGGAAACTGAAAGTGAGAGATAACGCCCTTAGAAAAGAGAGGAAGCAGAAAACTCTTTTCTGCCCTGTCTATTCACCAGCCTGGCTTTCACCTTGATCATGTGTTTTCAATTAATCTCTTTTTCCAGACTCCTATGGATTTAATTCATTCACTGTGACTCTTCTTTGTATCAGAGTCATTACCCTTGTTTATAATTTATAGACTTTAATTTCTGTTTCTTAGATAAATGGTATGGTTCTTCTTGACGTTTATACATGCCGTCAATGCTTTCTGAATCACTCAATCTCTGTATCTATAAGGGATAAGGCAACTATTTAACAGTGGTAGCAGGATGCTCTTTGAATGAAAATTCCATTTTTTTCCAGCAGCATGACACAATGAAAAGAGCACCAATTCTCTTACTTGGAATAATTGAATTCTAGTTCTATCTCTTCCATTGATGTGCTGTGTGTCCTGGGCATACTATTTTACTTTTACAGGCTTAATATTTTTTGCCTGTAAAATCAAAAGATAAGGCTGTATCCGTGTTTCCTGCATTTTAAAGCAATATAACCATTTTGTATACATTCTTTCATGAACCCCAAAATAGACACTTATATATGATGTTTATATGTCTGTGTGTTTATACTTATGTGTGTATATACATATATATATATATAGGCATTATAATGTTAGTATGGATTTATAATGTAAGTCTAAAATTATAACATTTACTTCCACTTTCGAAAATAAAATCACAAATCAATACATCAGTGGTGTTTCAAGTACACAGTTGTGTGTATATTTTCATATACAGTTTTTAAAATAGTTAAAATATATTTGACAAATGCTATTGGAATACTTTTTAGAAGACTGAATCACCTCTATTGAGCTTTTGAAAGGCTTTGTGCATGTCTGAACATTCCCCCTGAAGGAAGATGTATTTCTGGACCCTTCTGGTAATATCCACTGATTTCAGAAGACTAGAGTATTCTAGTGCTCAGGATTCACTCTTTACACGCAATCATGCATTAGAAAGAACCTTGACTATTACTTCATCCTTCTCCTGACTTTTCTAATTCTCTTTCTTTTGATATTTCCACAAGCTTAACATGACTGTTGCTGCCCAACCAGGGTTATCTGTCTGCTGTCCAAGAGGAAGCCAATAACCCAGAGACAGACAGCAGGACTTATAGCAGAGAAAGAGTTCATTCTGCAGAGCACTGCTAATAAGGGAGGGGAGGAATCTCTCAAATCCACCTATCTGAGAATTTGTGAGACAGGTTTTTACAGGCAGTTTGGTGGGCAGAAGATTAGGTAACCAGCGTCTGCTAATTGGCTGGGTTCAGGGCAGAACCATTAGTCCCTTGGCATAGGCCCTGCTGGGTGGGTCAGCCAATCCTCTGGAACTCAGTTCCTTGGGTGGGGGCTCAAGAACAACTGAGTCAGTTCCTTGGTCTGCGTGGGCCAGTCAGTATACTGGAATGTAGAACCTGGAAGATATCTTTTAAACTATCTCCGGGTTCCAAATAGATGATGTTATTTCTGGAGAAAAGTTAAGAATCTTTACAACTGCCAGTGGTGTCCACCGAGGCAGGAATTATAGAGAAGCAAACAAGAGGACAGTAACTATTATCAAGCAAATGAGGGGACAATGGTTGATCATTAGTATTATTTTTAGCTAAGTCTGTTCCTTCACAGAGTTTTGGGGCCTTTATTCTTCTATTTCTTACCTTGCACCCATCATCAATTTGTAAGAGCAGTTTCACCATGTTGGGGGCTAGAGCAAAATGGTGGGCAAGACACACTCCCTGGTTCCAAGGGCCTAAGGGACTTTCTTTTCCAAAACGGCTATTATTCTTGAGCTTTAAGTTTCACTTAATCTTGTCACATAGTCACACTACCTAGAAAACTGGACATCTTTTTACATGACTCCCTCATCTAATGCCTACACAGAGCCATGTCCCACGTCCTAAATAATTTTATTCATTAATACTACAGTGGCCTATTTCACAACCTCTTAACCTTCAACTGGTTTCCTTCTGTTTTGTTCTCATCCACATTGTTGGCAGATCACTTTTATATGATCAGCATAAACTTTGATCATAAGACTGGCTAAAACGTTTCACAGGGTCCCTAAGGTTCATAAAAGAAAGCCTGTACTCCTTACTACGGTTACCAAAGCCTTTAATTGAGGACAGTATTTACTACTTTTAGATTTATTACCATCACTTCCACTCTTTATACTTAAGAAATAGTTTGGTTCCTAGAAGATATTATTTTATTTATTGATCCCGGGAAATTTCACTATCCATCATATACCAAAAACTGTGCCTTTTGCTTGGGATAAAATGAGACACAGTCATGAGTCCTCTCCATAAGAAGTTTATATGCTTATAATGGATGCTGTTCAAACTCTCCCTGACACCCACATCACGATTAAAGCACTCAAGCGCTCATTCCCAAGCTGCTGGAAGTCTTTGTGGGTGACAGCTCTTCAGTGAGCCCTTCTCTGGGAATTACCTTCAGCTAAAGAGGGGTAACTGCTTCCACGGACTGGTTGACACTGGGGAATAAAGGCCCCGCTACCTTTTCTCAGTGCAGGGCTGTTCTGAAGAACCGCCCTAGCTCCAGAATCCCTATGGAGTTGGCGAGGGCTATGTTTTATATGCATCACAGTTATCTTCTCCCTTTGCTTAACCCTGCTTTCCTCACCGGTCCTATTGTTCCCGATGAGCATTTTCTCGTAAACTTCCTTAATGCAGATCTCTGTCTCCAAGTGAGTCTGTTTCCTGAAAAATCTGATCTGTGACAAGAGTCTACTGGGAGAAAAACAGAGGTAGGAAGCCTCTATACTATATGATCTCCCTAGAAAAATAGGTTACGGTTTTAAAACTGATTCAAACTTACACAAATAGAATACAAACAAGGCCTCATTTATATTTTTTATTTTTTTCATATTCAAACTATTTATTTATTCTTTAAGATCCACAACATACCAAGTTGATCTTACAGAAAATAAAAACGAATACACTCCAAACTGTGTCAAAGTTGAAATGCGGTACTGGAACAGAAATAGAAACAAGAGTCTCCCAAAACAACGTGACAATATTTTTCTATATCTGAAATATAAATGTTTCCTAATTTCTATAGGGAAATTGTATTCAGGAGTCATAACATGGCCCACCACATTTTCTTGCTGTGTTGTTATACTAAACAGAAACATTGCTAGCTCTGGTTCTGGACACTCAGTAATTTCTACAGACATCTTGTGTTCATAGCTTCATTCGCCCCGCCCGGGATGAAGGCTGGTTCAATGCCTAGATCCACTGAAGGACAGACCCGCAGGTAGCTTTGACTGTCATCAGCTACATTGGAAGGAGCAAAAAATGGCCGCAGTGGTTCCGCAGCAGGAATGTTAGTGAATGTGAAGATATGAGACCCATCGCCGACATGGTAGAAGGAGACGGTGCCCATATTCACATTCAGGAAAATCCCCACCCTGTGGAGCCGGGGATTCACCAACAGAGCGGTCAAGGGCCAGGTGCAGGCAGTGACAATCGGCGCTCTTCTCACACCCACAGTCCAGAAGCCCCTTTCTGTAGACAGCGTGATCTGTCCTTGCCTTGTAACCGATTCCTTGCAGACACCCACGTCCCATTTTTCGCTCTTGCTCACATCCACTTCCCAGTAGTGACGGCCAGAAGTGAAACGCGGGGACCCGAGGACACACAAGGCATTGTTGAATCTCTCGGCTCGCCAGCTCCTATTCTGTTTGAAACACCCACAGTGAACCTTCCTCAGGTCATCAGAAATGACGAGACTGTTGTTGGCTGTGTCCACATCCAAGGTCATATCCACTTGGAACTTCCTCATTCTGGGGTCCATCTGTAGGGCAGCTCTCAGCTGGGGCTCCAGTTCCTGGACGTGGGACACCAGCTTCCCCAGCGGGATAGAGGGCATGATGTCTCTCTCCTGAGAGACCTCAGGGCAGACCGGGCATTGCAAACTCTCCCCGTGGGGCTCCTTCTGCTGTGAGTTGACGCACTCGAGGCAGCACAGGTAGCCACACTTCAAGTGCACAGGTTTTTTGAGATAAGTTAGGCAGGTATTGCATGAACTGGCTTCTTTAAAGTGCTCAGCCATGGCTACTGTCTCTCCTGCACTATGTTCTCTCCTGGCTTTAGCTGCTCCCAGGGATAGCTGAGATCTGGAGTGAGACCTGCCTGCCAGGGACCTTATAGGAGAGGGTTTCCCCACCCACCTGGTTCACACCCTGCCCCTCCTCTGTAACCCAATCAGATTTTGATTGAATTCTGGTGGAAGTGATTTTTTTTTATACTTGGATAGGTTTTTTACTGCAAAGATAAGACATGACTGCATTCTACAAGTGTTCTTTTTAAATTCCAATGGACAGAGACAAAAAATTCTCATGTTATCATTTTAGATTAAGTGTTGAATATTATGCCAATATAGGTTTGGAATTGGCATTATTTGGAATTTTAAAAATTGAGTAACATTATTTTTCCTTCTAAAATATATGGGGATAGGTCTGGTTTCAAATAGTTTTGGAAAATGTAAGTAAAATCTCCTCACATTTTCAGTCAAAGGCACAGTTCAACCTATTCAGAAGTTCTAACCAAAATTATATTTGCTAGACTAGCTCTCTTCATTGCAAGGGAATTTTCCCCAAATACAAGTATCCTAACTGATAAGTCTGGTAAAGGAAACTGAAATCTCTTGCCCAATGAGCCAATTAAAGTCCTGGGGTTTTATTGTGCTATGGTTTCCAAAATGAAAGATAAGTGATATTGTTATAATCTTTCTATTTCTCCTGCATCACAACAAAGGCAAACTCTGGAGGTTGGAGTGAAAGTGGACCAGGATTTTGTTATGTTTGAATGATTACCTTAAATGGATTTTCACTGACTCCTCTGCACATGAAAGTGTTGCTAGGGATATTATGGGATAAATGATACATTTCACATTAAAGGCCAGGGCACAATCCCCAAATCCCATTGCTAGGAATGTACTCCAAAGGAAAAAAAACTATTTTTCATAAGGACATTTGCACTAGGTTTTTTATCACAGCTCAATTTTCAATGGACAAATTGTGGAACCAACCTAAGTCCCCATCAACACAGAAATGGGTTAACAAACTGTGACCTATGTACACCATGGTATACTATTCAGCCTTAAAGAAAATAGAGACTTTACACCTTTAAACTACACAGAGTTGAAACCCGTTGTTCTTAGTAAAGTATCACAAGAATGGAAAAGCAAGTATCCAATTGGTACTCAATACTAATATAAAGCCACTAGAAAATAGAAACAAAAACAATAGGAAAAAAAAAAGCCAGGGCACATTCTCTGTTGTCAATTCTTGTCATCTCACTAAGGCAATTGAAAAATACAATAAGAATTGTGACCCACATTTTATTACAAATCCCTTCACATTGCGTTTATCCACTGATAGGGAGCTATAACAATGTGGCATATATTTGTTTGAATACACACACATATACACACACAAGGTCAGGTGATTAAGTTTACAAACTCATCCTGGAAAAAGTGCTACCTACCTTATTTCTGAATATCAATACAGTCACCTCTGCACTACACCCCTCGAGGAGCTATGAAATACTGATCAGTTACAAAGTCCAGGGATTTCAAGTAGAAGGACTGGGCAGAAACTCCCTGACAGGACATCAAGGTGAGCATCCCCAAGCTGGGGGTGGCAGACACAGGATGGACCCTGGTGTCGAGCGCTGAGGATCCCAGCCTTGTTTCAGGGGCTTTTTCCTGAGGAAAGGTGAACTGAGTCTGCTCTTCAGGATCATCTGACAGACCAAGGAGGGTCAGTCATTCAGTAGGACACTGAGGACCCAGAAAAGGAGGAGTGGCAGAGGGGGGTGGGAGGTTGGAGAAGGAAGAGGCAGGGCAGTGCAAGGAGCACATATCTGGGGACCTTGGGACAGAACAGAGAAAGGGCATTTTTGATGAGTTGGACGTGTGATTTAGATCCGTGGTGTGAGCAATTGTGTTTTATTGACACTGGTGTTCAGATTGAAAGATGTAAAGGTTCAGGTGGAGAATCTATTTGTTTTAGGAGAACTCACCCTGGGGGACTTAGAAAGGTTGTGTGTTCCGTCCGGCGTCTTGCTATGTTGAGTTTACTGAAATGCTGCTGTCCTGGGATAACAAGCAGAAAACAACCTTTATAGGGAAAATGTGGAAAGGTGTGGAATTCGGAGATCTTAGTAAAGGACAATCACGTATGTGTGAAATTATTCCAAATCAATGATTTGGAATATTATTTAACTTCTTCATTTGTAAAATGAGGTGGACTATTATATTTGTTCTTAGTCATACTTCTAAATTTTTATTTTTTATTTTTATTAAGGCCTCATTTTTAAAAAGAAATATTATAGAGACGGCTAAAGGCCCCTGTGATGCATACACACCCTAACCTCTTTTCCCTCCCAACATCTTTGTAACCAGGCACATGCATCCATGTCCAGTTTCAGACATTAGCTATTATTGCCTCGTGTTTTTTCCCACTTATTACTATAAAGGAAGTTTGATTACATGCAATGTTTGACTATTTTATTTACTTAATTTTAAGTGTTTGAGGCCCATCCATATCCTTATCTATACATTCGCCACATTCTTTTGGGCTGCTGTATGAAATAGTAGAAAGGATAATAATTTAAATGAGGGAAAGCTCATATGTCCACAGCATTTTTTATACTAACAATTATTCATTAAACACCTTTGGCTCTATGTACTGGGTATATAGCAGTAAACACAACAGTTATGATTTTACTTCATTCTTGCTAGTCATGTATACAGGCTTATATGTGAGAATTTTAGAGACATCTAGTTTGAATGGAACAGTACGAAATCAGCACTTCTGTGTGTGGATCCTTAAAAACTTCCAAAAGATCAAGAAGGAGAAACAAAAATTAATATATTTTGAACAAAAATAAAAAAGTAGGTGGCACTCTGGGCATCAAAATATGTGAAACGGTTTTTTTTTTTTTTTTTTTTTGAGACAGAGCCTCAAGCTGTCCCCCTGGGTAGAGTGCCATGGCATTACAGCTCACAGCAACCTCCAACTCCTGGGCTCAAGCGAGTCTCCTGCCTCAGCCTCCCAAGTAGCTGGGACCACAGGCGCCCGCCACAACGCCCAGCTATTTTTTGGTTGCAGCCGTCATTGTTGTTTGGCGGGCCCGGGCTGGGGATTCGAACCTGCCACCTTAGGTGTGCGTGGCTGGTGCCTTAGCCGGTTGAACTATAGGCGCTGAGCCTGTGAAACAGTTTTAAAAAGCAGTGGAGATAAAGCTCAGGAGACATGCAGGATGAAGCAGAGGAAGACAGGGCAGTGAGATGGCGTGGCAGCTTTCAGAAAGAGCCAACAGGCTCCACAGTGAGTGACGCACCTGGAGGTGTGTAGCTTAAATCCCACATTTGCTATACAGAGAACGAATGGTGTACCCACCAGTTGCAGGAGCTTTCTTTTTATATAGCTTGGTTCCAAGAAGTATAGCCCCTAGATGATGATGACGATCTCTCCAAAATGAAACTATTCTTGGTTACTAGGGGAAGTCTCCTGGAGGAATAACAGTCTGCAATTTGTTCACACCCTGAGGGCTGTTATCTCTGTAGTGGTATTTATGCAATTAGAAAAAGTGTTTACAACTTGCCTCTGACTTTAGCTGAAGTGATCAATGACACAGTTTTGGTCCTGGAAGGCATTCATGTCAACCCCTACAAAATGGCCAGAGTCATTAGAGATGAAAAGAATTATCAGAGCCTTCCTCTCTAAGGGCTCAGGAGGAGGCTGTGCAATCACTGATACATCCTGCTGTACCCGAGTGTTAATGCCTCTCACCAAGTGGAAAGGTCAACACAGAAAATTGAGGAGAAAAATCATCTGGCATTTTAAGGCAGACTGATGGTTTATGGGATTTGTTGAACTGCTTGTCTCGAAGACCTTAGAGGACAAGGTTGATGTCAGTATTGCAAGTTGGTCTCACTCTGTGGCTTGGAGTCCTATGGATTATAGCCTCCATTAATTGCTATAAGAGAATGATTTGGTTCTAGCCATTTTGGTCAGATTAATGGGATTGGCTGATACAGGATATTCATGGAAAAAATTTACCCAAACTCTCTGTGATGTATAGAAGAAAGGAGATAAGAGTGGAGAACAATTCTCCATGGGGCTCTTATGTTTCCGCCTGTCTTGTAAACAGAGGTATTTATTGACTGTACTTTTTCCTAAACTTCCTTGTCATGGATTTTTGTGCAGTGTACAACCTTAGAAGACATAGATAGTCTCTTTCCTTAGCAAAAAAAGGTGGACACATTTGCTGTATGACAAAATAAGCACAATAAGATAATGTCTTCTTCCAGAGCAAAGAGCACCCAGGCTTAGTACCCATTATAAAAGATTTTATATTTCTAAGGTCAGGGATTTTTCTCTTATAATGCAATCTGCTTTTTGTGCGGGTGTCATTGGCTCTCTTTCAACAGCACTTGAGAATAGGGGCACAGAGTTCTGGTGCAAAAGGGCTAATACTGGCTACAGCAATGGTTATGTGCATGAAACTGTCCTTTGTTTCTGACCTTGGAGTCTCATGTCTTCCATTAGCATCCATGAACTGTGGCAGGCTAATGCTTTAGCTTACAAATAGGGAAAATATTAGACTTTTCAGAGTTCTTTACAATAGTCTGACTCTATGGTAACAGAACAGGTGGATATCTGCATGGCAGAAGCCCCTTAAGGAATATATTTACAATCACAAATTTATGTATTAGAAAAACATATGGATTAAATTGGTTGGTGGGAAAGTGGGTGGGGGCTAGAGGTAAAAGAAATACACTAATTTTATTGCTCACATAAAGAAATTGATGGACATAACCTGGAGAAATAGAGGATTAAAAGTATTATTTCAAGTAATGAAGGCAATCACTAGTGCAGATACACAAGCCTTCTCAAATATAAGAAGAAATAAATGCAAAAACAAGCAGACAGGAGAGCAAAAGCATTTTTAAAAGCTTTAAAATATGTCAACTATACCCAAATATAGCTATAAAAAATAAAGTTATAAGAGATGAAACTCTAAGATTACATAAGTACACTG